GCGTATGAAAACAAAGGCACTGCGCATGCGCGTTTTACCCATATTCTATCGCGATATTTCATTTTTCTATCGTTGCCCAACATTATACCGGTATTACCGTGAAGGGTATGATATGGCCCAGCCCTACTCTCAGGTAGGCCTTCTTGGAATTTTGCTAGTTAGTCTTGAAGGCCTCTTGAAGAAGAAGCTTTTTTTATGTCGACTGCCTTTTGTTCCGTTTTCTGTAAAGCTGATCCTACACTGCTTCAGGGATGTTGCGTTCTGGGCTCTGGGGACGCAGATCTATGACTGACAGTATTGCCACCAGCACAGCTTTTACTGCGTTAGTAGCGTGTTTGGGAAAAACAAAAGTATGCCGATCAGATTATTCATAATTCCATTAAATTTGACAAGATCCTCCAACACCACTGTCTGAAATACAGACCCAACCCATGACAGAGGCTAGCTCATATTTTACAGATGGCTTTAGACACTCTCCTGACCTGGACTGGACCTATGTCAGGGATTTGCTGTATTTCTCCCAATATTTCTCAAGGAAAGGACTTTTAGATGCTTTTCATCTGCTGTAGATAGTGTTTTTGAAGCCTACAACCTCCATTTGTCATATTTACTTAATTTTTCAAGGAGACATTGAACATGCTGAGATATCCTTAGAATACTTAAAGTTATCCTCAAGTTGTCTGCTGTGTGTAGACACATCACTGGTTCATCTCTTGAGTTATAGGTTCCCGTTTTGTGCTTGAATGATTTATAAATCATTTCTAAGTAACTTAAACATAATTCCCCTGAAAATGGTCAGATACAAATACTGGACTGAAAAATGAGTGAACAAGCAGCCTTTTAGAAAGCCTAGAGAACCTAGAGGAGCTCAAGACCGCTTTAAAAAAATTACAAGAACGTCTGGGTCATAAATAAATCAGGAGTAGCTCAAGGGTTTTGCACTTTATTGGCATATAAATCTTTTTTTCTATATAACGTTTCATTTTCATACCATGTCTTTTTATAATTCAAGTAACTTGTGTCTGAAAATTTGAGCTTTAAAAATACTTAAGTTCTCTGCTGTAGTATGTGTTTTAAGCCACATGATGTCGCTGTATCCTTGCTATGTCTTGCTTTTGTGCTTGTGAGAATCAGTTTTATGGCTTTTCCCCTTTGACTAAGGAACAAAGATCCCACACATACATGAGAAAAATGTAACGAATATCAACACAAGTGTATTTGTACAACATGTATGCATCAAGTTGTATTACATTATAATGTAGTGACACAGTAATACAGACACACTTGTCCTGCAGTTAAGACTGCATTCAGTTTAAGTTAATTATCCATTAGTTTGATTCATTCTGGGCCAAGTTGGACAGCTTTAAGTCATTAATGTTACTGTGCCTGCAGCCTGTAGAAACAGACAGGTGATAGGTGACTTTTACAGTTAGCTTAGAAACAGCACAAAAGAAAGTTTCCACCGTGAGCTGTCCCAGAATGTAGCTGGCCAATGCAGACGAGCGCTGGGCGGGGATGGCTGCAGTGAGATGTAATTCATACAGCACTAAATCAGGTCACTGTCACTGAGAGATCTGATCTTCTTGGCATGATAAAGCCCAAAGAAATCAAAAGTCATACATGTTTTCAACAGGGATTATATGCGCTAAGATGGAAATAGAGGGCTGAGAGACAATTCACCCTTATAAAATGGTGCCTGTGCGTGTTGATGTGGGTGTGTGTGTCTGTGAGTGTGTAAATATAAGCCAGGTTTCCAGTTCATCCACAACTACGCCCTGCATTTCTTTGTGTATTTCTCAGGGGTCTTCACTTTCTTTTCATTCTTTCTCTTCATTGTTCCCGTTTCCTCTCGTTTCTTCCCATCCTGGCTGGCCGTCCTCAGGTGAAGCCTTCTCACATCACTCTAAAGCCATTGTGTCTGCTCTCAATACAACCACTGTGGAAAGAGACAGGTCAGATTCGAGTCTGAGGAAGGTATTGTGAGGACAAATATAGCAGTAAAGGCCAAATTTTCTGCTGGGCAGGACTGGTTTGTTTTTTATGTAACAATATTGAGTGAATGCAACTTTTTTCCCCCAACAACCTATTACATTTGTTCTCTTTTGAACATTTTTTCTGCCATATCCATCTTAGATATACTTATATTACCTGAAAAAAGCAGGTTAAACTATAAACTATACTGACAGTAGCAGTACAGTTTTTCCTCAAATGAAAGGACACGTTGATTTAAACTCATGCGCACCTCTGTATTTTTTCAGTCCTCCACAAGGTGTCATATTGCATCCTCTCCTTTGTTGTTGTGGGTTTGGTTACATGACTGGCTCCTCCCCAGCCAGGACAGCTGATCCTTTACAGCCGGACTCACCTGTGAAAGCTGCTCCAGCAACAACAATCACTCTCACCATCAGCGACGAGAAGAGACCAACTGAACAACTGATCTCCAGGTAAATACTGTTTTTGTGCTTTTCCTCTGTTTCTCTTCATCAAATTACAGCTCAGAGTAGCTGAATAGGGGACACATTTTCTGGATGATGTAAAGCTCTCAGGGACTTGAAATTTACTAGAACCTCATTGCCGTTCTTCTTAAATAACTCTGTGACGAGGAAAGAGTGATGATGCTTGGTATCCAGCACTTGTATTTCAAACACAGTGTTTCTTTAGTAGATCAGAAACATGATTGGTAATATTTCCTGCTTGAATGTTCAACAGAAACCTGGAAAAGGGAGACAGAAAAGATGACAAGATTTTTAAGTTTTTCAGGATCTCAAGAAAATCATTTATTGTTACATTTTTGGCAATCGTTTAGTAGAAAGTCATAAAACTCAGAGTTGTTTCAGATCTATCAAATCCAACAAGACAAATCAAATGGCTGATCTTGCTGGATTAATCATGTGACTTTAAGAACCAATAGATGTGCACTCTCTGTTTTCCTAACCAGTGTTGTCTATTCTGAAGTACTTTCTGTTTTTTCCTTTTGGGTGATTTTGAGAACACAATAAGACAGAAGTGGCCATGACAGCCTGTTCATGTATCAATCTACTAATAGTTTTATTTTATTTTCTTGATGGGAAATCATCTCAAAAGGAAACTACTTATAACCTCGTAAATAGTGACTCCATTCTTTGAACAATGCCTAATGACATACTACCTTAAGATATGACAGGGTGCCTTGACTTTTAGCCCTTTCAGAGTTTTCTGGTGTATGATAGGCATAAAAAGACCTCTAGGTGTGTTTTTGTCTTCCTTATTGATCCTTATTGACCCAAATGTATCTAACTATCTGTTTAGTGGACACCATGGCCTCTGCTCTCTCTGTGCGCTCAGTGCGGCAGCCCTCCTTCTCCAACATCTCTGTGAGGGGCAGTGGACGCAGCATCCGCTCCAAACCCTCTGTCTCCAATCTTTCCTCGATCGCCACTATGTCACGCTCCCTCTCTCTGGGCAATGGCCTCAATGTGCTGGGCTCCAGCCTCTCCATCAACGGCCTCAGCATCAGCGAGAAGGAGACCATGCAGGGCCTGAACGACAGGCTGGCCAACTACCTGGACAAGGTGCGGTCGCTGGAGAAATCCAATGCTGAGCTGGAAGTGAAGATCAAGCAGCTTATGGTGGACAGAGCTCCAAAAGGGTACGACATTGAGGGGATGATGGCACAGGCCCATGCCATTGGACAGGAGGTCAGTGTCTAGTGCTTTAGACTATACAATTCATTTTAAGACTTCCTGTCTTGAGAAAAAAAAATATTTGTGCGTGATGTTCTGTCATGAATTCTCTAATTTGAAGTACAGTTTTGGTGGAAGAACTCAGCTTAACACATTAATATTTAACTAGACACATTAAAACCACACGTGATTTTAACTTGCTATGCATTGTGTTCTTTCACTTAGGTGAGAAGGAAGACACTGGAGAATGCCCGTATAATGCTGGAGATTGATAATGCCAAGCTGGCGGCTGATGACTTCAGGGTCAAGTGAGTGTCACACTGCAGTCTTTTCCCTGGCTGTGAGTGTTCACATGGGAGCGTCAGACTGCAAAACAGTATGAATAAATGACCTTTCTGTCAGGGGCTGAAATAAATGCCTTATTCCCACGGTGGGTGCTCCAGTACCAAACAATGGCAACGTCAGTTAGAGGGGAATATGATAGATGGTGCAGGTCAGAAAGAGAATCATCCCCTTATGGAGATTCTACAGTTGGCAAGGTGAAGCTAAAGGTGACAGAGTCAGGAAATACCTGCTGCTGGTGTTTTTCACAGTGTGTTGATAGTATGTTTTGTGGTCTAATGTGAGGGAGTAATATGTCAGCTGACAGTGATTCATGGTATTTACAGCAAAGTGAGTGTGGACCTTAATAACACAGAGCTTTGCAGGAGTTTGCATGTGATTTTTCACATTTGTGCATCCATTCCTGAGTGGCCTCAGTGCCAAATTCGCAGAAGAGTTACTAATTAGCTCCAGCTGCCTTTATCAGGTGCCTGTTAATCAAAGTGTCAACACCCCTAACACCAGTATCCACACGAATGAGTTAACAGGCTGCAAATCTGCTATTTAATGTTGTAAAGTTGGATATTTTAATGTAGAAGTTCATGGGAACTGATTTTCTTTAAGAGCTAGTTGCTTCCTGAGGTACTTGAGGAAAAATGAAAATAGCGTGGAAGTGTCACTTCTGCTACTTGTTCAAAAGTCTTTTTTTTTATGCAGAAGCAGGAATATTTTTGATCTATAGGTACAGAAAGATTGTATTAAATAATCTGCAGTATTTTCAGATCTCATGAAAATGAGTATTTTTCAATAATGTACACAAAAGGTACAAACCTGGCCTAAAATTGCACATGTTTACTGATGACCTCCTTTTCTCTTAACATGAACTTGTGGGAATTTACAGGGAATCTTGTTGGGATATTTTCCACATGTACAGACAGCAGGAAGTAGCCACTTCAGACACATTGACACAACTAGAAATGCTCTATGCACCATAGGTAACGTGGTTACTTGGATATAGTGTACAGGGAGAGCTGGCAGGTTAAAAGTAATTTCTGTGATTACTTTCTGCATTTACCCCCATTTCCTCAAGAAATTTTAGCTTTTCCCAGAACGTTGTGGGTAATGTATGTGTGCATTCTTATTGATTTGCCTGGCTGACGTGCCACAAAATTGTGGTACATATTTCTATATATGAAATCTCTTCAACACAACACATGGGTCTTTTGGAAATAAAGTCACAGCTGTTATTCTGTTGATTGCTCATATCCAACCTGACTACATCAGATATTTCTGTTCTCAGGTGCAGAGCTACAGAACATGTGTGAAAGTTCATTTATTTGATTTAATCTTGTCTTTAATGCTGTTTTTTTTTTTAATGCAGATGGGAGGCAGAGGCCACCTTGTGCCAGTCAGTGGAGAGGGACTGTCAGGCTCTGAGGAGAGCAAAGTCAGACCACGACCAGATCATCGCCACTCTCCGAGGAGACCTGGACAGCCTGAAGGAGGAGCTCTACTTCCTCAAGAAGAATCACCAGGAGGTGAGACTGCTGCCAAAACGAAGGTTACGTGAGATTAAACAGTGTTTACGTATCCATCATTATAATCTTCTTCACAAGACACAAGTTCATATAAACTAGTTCTCTGCCAGGTCAGTTTGTGTTTTCTCCCACAAGGTTTAAACAGTGTTCGGTGTCTGAAATACGATAATATAAGTACAGGGACACACCCTTCATCTTTGTAACCAGACTGCTTCAAGATAACGAGGTAACTCCAATGTACACAAAGCAGGAGTGTTTGAGCCCAGTCATCGCAACAGTCTGTGTGTGTTTAGGCAGTCAGGTGTGGTGTCCAGGATGTAGACTGAATTTTACACAGAGGGAATTTTTTATTTTGTCTTAAAAATGTATAAAATTTGACTGACTGTAATTATAGTGTTATCATACATACACATCCAATTTTTCTTAAATCGAGAATTAGAAAAAAATCAAAATTCATAATTGTTGCAGCAAGTAAGAACTACAAAACCCAAGGGGTGTTGATGCAGCTACCATATAAACGTCGCAGAAATTAATTTGTAGCAAAGGTGAAGTAGAGGAAGCCTTCTGACACACAATCTGTGGTTGCACTCTTTTAGGCAGCTACAGTGATCACTCATTTAAACTTTAATTATCTTGTGAGCTTTATGAACAATACAGTAATAACTTTTAATTCACGGTGGGATTCTTTCTTTAAAAAACCATATTATATTTGGCTAGTCCTCTGAAGATTATCACTTGGCGCTGGCTTTTTCTTGAGGCTTCATATGTTGTGAATAAAAACTTTACAACTACTGTAAAGATTTAAAGGAAGTGAAAAATGGTAGCGTAAAATAGTTATCGGAGAGCTGTGAAGTTTCTGTGATACGAAAGCTGAGCTGATTTTGTGGGATTACTCCTGCACATGTAGCTGATGTTATTATGGGTGTCAAGGTAGGAAGGCGAGAATTAAAATTCCAGAACAACTTTATTGCACAGCTCTTAACTAAACAAAGAGCAGGTCAGGTGCTGAAAGTACAAGTCATCTGGGGAAATGCACGAGGAAGGACACAGCCATGAGAGAGAATGAGATAAAGGGCAAGGGATGAATGAGACAACACGTATATATGCAGAGGATAACGAGGAACAAGCAACAGGTGTGAGAACAGCTGTAACTAATTACAGGTGACAGGCAAATAGAACTGAATACACGACAAACCACCGAAATGAAACAGGAAGAAACAGAACACGGAAAGAGAAACTCAGACATGACACAAAGACAGAAAGATAAACAAACACCGAAACAAGACTGACTTCACAAGAAGTCACTTAGCAAAACTAAGACCTGAGAATACAAATACTAAACTAAAGCTAGTCTAGTTTAGAAACTTAAACAGAACTAAATACACAACAGACCACTAAAATGAAACAGGAAGAAACAGAAAGCTAGTTTAAGTTTCTTGAATTCACTTGAAATCAAGAAATGAGTACAGCTGCTTTTCTTTCCAAGCTCCTTAGACTCCGATGACCTGGATGACTGAGAACCTTCACAGACATAAACTAAAGCTACTTAATGATGGAGATGGGGTGTAGTTTTTGCAGTGCTGTGCACCACTTTAACAGCTTTTAGGAGTTCACTGCTGAATAGCATCTGCAGCACCAGGTTTACACTAAACTCGCACAGCTGTAAAGCTAATTAGAGTACATTAGAGTTTTAAACGACTCTAACCTACATCTCCTGTAACAATAGGTTAACTCACTTAAAACAAACAGCCAATTAGGCAACATGGATGATGTTAAAGCAGGTTTACCAGCTCTCACACTGATGGCATTTCACCTTCAGTCTCACGCTGCTGAAACAGTCTCACGCCAATTAAAAGGAAGCCTCAAAGCCCCTCCTTTATTAAAACAAACAAACAAAACAAGCAGACTCAACAGGTTTTTTCCAGCTGAACATCAGACCTTTTTCTAAATTTCAGCTCTGGTCCCCGAACATCTCAGTTTACAAGCTTAATCCACCAGAGGCATTCAAATGACTAAATGCAAACAAACAAATGTCAACGATGTTAATGGATTTCTTTTAATATAGCAGCTCTTTTAGCACACAACTTCTTTTTTTTTGCTCAATGTCTGTATCAACAGGCAGTACTAAGTGTACTAAAACCACTTGAAGCTGGAGTTGGTGGATTAATAGGTGGAGAAGAAAAGTTTAAGTTAAACAAAAATCTCAAAAAACAAGTACAGCACATGTTGTCTTGTCAGTTTGCTTTGCTAAGTAAAGTATACAAGTTGAGTCAAATGTGAGGACCCACTGTGGCTTTTTGCATCAAAATATTTCTGTTATAACCATGATTTTCCCTCCATTCCTTCTTTAAATGTCTGCAGGAAATGAACTCCCTGAAGGCCCGTCTGGACAATGAGCAGGTGAACGTGGAGGTGGATGCGGCTCAAAGTCCTGATCTTGGGGCCATCTTGGCTGAACTCAGGGTCCAATATGAGGGCATTGTTCGCAAGAACAAGGAGGAGGCCGAGTCTTGGTACCTGAAGAAGGTGTGTAACTGCACAAACCAGCTCTTGCTCTTCTGTCTTTTCTCCACAGTAAATAAATATGTAGGACTGCTTTTTTTCATCTCTGCAATATTGTAAACATTATAATTTATCCAGTTGCAGAGTGAACCTAACAAACTAGATGCATTGGTTACAGCTAGTCGGGACTATTGTCATTCCTTTTTATCAGCATGTCCTAAAAACTCCCTGAAAAGCTGTCAGTTGGTCCAAATGAGTAGAGAAAGAGAGAGAGAGAGCGAGGGATCATATTTGTCCCTTGTTTGTTCACTGGCTTCCTGTTAAGCTCATCGTTTAATTTAAAATCCTCCTTCTTGCATAGAAAGTCTTGAAGGGTCAGTCCACATAACATCTTAAAGACCTTAATGCATTATATTATCCCATCAGAGCGCTTCACTCTCAGACTGCAGGCCTACGAGTTTCTCAAAATAGAACTGGAAGCAAAGCCTTCAGCTACCAGAACCACCTCCCTAACTTGGTTCAATGATATACCAATTAGGCTTCAAACTTTCACTTTTGGCTTATAGTTAGCGCTGCATCAGGTTGACCTGAAACATTGCTTAGTTAACCAGCTTAGGCTGCTAGAAAGTAATCAAGTACTTCACCTCTTGTTACTCATCAAGCATTTTATGCTACTACATTAATTTTCTTTTCCCTTCCCTTCTCTGTCATCACCAAACCAGTTTTAGCAGATAACTGCTCCGCCCTGATCTTGGTTCTGGTTTCTTCCTGTTAAAGCACGTTCGTCCTCCTCAATGTCTCAAGTCATAAGGGATTGCCTGATTTTGGGGGTTCTCTACCTAATGTTGTTGGGTCTTTACTTTACAGTATGAAGCCCTTTGAGATGAGTGCTGTGTTGAATTGTTTTGAATATTATGTTTTTATGTGTTTACAGTTAGAGGCAGTACAGTCGGAGGTCAAAGAAAGCAACGAGGCTTTGCGTTGTGCCCAAAGTGAGCTCAGTGAGAGGCGGCGTTTCCTTCAGGCTCTAGAAGTTGAGCTTGAGAGCGTTCGTAAACAGGTACAGTACAGTTTGTTCATATACATTTGAATGACTACTTATCTTCTTCAGCGGTGAGGTTTCCGTGAGACGGAGACATTAGAAACCCTGTATGAGGGCACATGAATGACTGGTCCTCACCCCATCCTCACATCCTCCCCCGCACACTTGTCGAGACTAGCTATAGGTAACAGCTGCCTTCTTTTTGTCAGTTAAGAGCTGCTGCTGTATAGATACAATGTACACAGCAGGTTAATAACGCTTCCACAATCAATCAGTGTGACAAGACACAAAAACCTGGTGTTTTGTCTCCACTTCCTGTGAACTCAGAAATAATGTACAGCATGCAGACATGTTCACTGGAGGCAAATGTAGCTTTCAGATATTTGCTCAGCCTGATCACACAGTAATGAATGCAGACGTATTATAGTGCTGACAGGAAAACTTCTTAATAGGTAAAATTACAAAGCAGCAATCTTTTGACTGATTGTCTGACAGTGGTGACACTCTTTATGGTCCGTGTGAACAGTGAGTTAATATGGAGGCTTTAACATTTTATCCTCCCTGTGTTTACCTTCATCCTCAAAGTTTCTACTGTTACATGAAGACCATACAGCCCGTTAGAGCAGGAGGATCAGACTATAAATTTACAACTTAATATTTTTTTTAGCCATTCCCAAAAATAAGACTGCTATACTACTTTTTGAAATGTGAAAAGCTTTAACAAAGCTAAACCTTTAACACAGCTTTGATCCTTCTTTATGTTTTAATTGATTCATTTTAGTCTCCTAAAGATTTACTTCCTGGTGCTGAGCATCCTTTACAGTAACGGCTTCATTTCGGCTTCTTATAGCCAGTGCCTCATTTTAGCTATTTGCACTACTGATGAGATTTAGCAGTTAAAGATTTAAAGAAAGTCAGAAAATCAAGAATAACGTGTCATTTTAAATTTTTCTGACTGTTGGAAATCACTGTGTACACAATCGATGACAATTTAAATGCCATTAAGAGCAACAAAAAAAATGTTCATGCAGTTTTAAATATTTAAACGGCTGTTTTGTTATTTTGCTATTTGTAATTAATTCCCCAAAAGGCAAATCTATTCTACTTTCACCCTAAGCCAGCACCCTAATTATTGATGCTTCATCTTTAGCACACAGACATTAGAGCATTAATTATTTCACTTTAATAAAAAAAATGTCAGAGTGGGCAGTACCATCTTAAGTAAGCAAAGGACGACATTTTGGACAACTAACTCAAAATTTGATAATTGTTCCCAAAGAAATGATGTGTTTTTAACCATGCATGCTCAGACTGTTATCTGTGCTTCTCAGGATAAAGCTGTTCCTTAAACGCAGTTCTTGATAACATATAGCGAAGGAGGCGACCTGTCTGAATATTCAAGCCAGCTTTAGCAATTATGTAACACAGACGAGAATATGTTATCTGTTGTGGCTATTCAGCATCAGTACGCTGTGTTTACAGGTTAGCGTGTTAGAGGGAAACCTTGGAGAATCGGGACACAAGTACTCTGTGGACATGGACCGTCTTCAGGCCATTCTGACACAGCTGGAGGATGAGCTGTCTCAGCTGCGTTTGGACATGCAGCGCAACAAGACTGACTACGAACAGCTACTACGCATCAAGCAGAACCTGGAGATGGAGATCGCCACTTACAGGAGGCTGCTGGAAGGAGAGGATGTGTAAGCAAGTAGAAAAACAAATCTAAGCCTAAGGGATGCACAGTCCCAAAATAACAAGTCACAGGACCAGTTCAAAATGCATTTTTTTTTAACTTGAATATTAAATCAAATCGAATCAAATCACTTTTATTGTCACATCACATGTGCAGGTACACTGGTACAGTACATGTGAGTGAAATTCTTGTGTGCGAGCTTCACAAGCAACAGAGGTGTGCAAAAGTACAATAAGATAAGAACAAGCAAATATAAGAATGGCTAAATCTGAGAATTATATGAATAAATATATGTACAATATGAGATTGTATGCATGTTTCTGAATGTGTATACTAAATACGTATGTCTACGTGTGTGTATATATATATGTGTGTGTGTGTGTGTGTGTGTGCGTGTGTGTGTGTCTGTGTGTGTATACATATTTTACAAATTAAATAGAGTAAAAATAAAATAAATATATAAACTGACTCTTGTAGTTATTCATACTTTCTACAAGAAGGAGGCATTTGTACATTTATTAGTCTTCGAATTAAAGGACTTGTTCTCCATTTTGGGACATATGTGCATTTTTTTTAGCAGAAATAAGATTATTTTGTCTGTCCAGTAAATTTAACCACAGTTTGTTTTAGATGAGCATAGATTAGAAACAGGGTTCGCATTTACACGGAAAAATCAGCCTACCAGGAATCTCAAGTTTATTAACACCTTATATTTTATTTGGTTATTTACTTTTGCACATACGTTTGTATAGACTAAACTTTGGACAGAGTTAAAATTAAGCTACCCAGAAGCAACTGTAGCATCATATTCAGTTCACTATGATTGTTCATATGAGGGTTATTATAGCTTTGTGCTTTCTAATTAGTATTTTTATTTCATATTTGACTTTTTGTTTTTAAACTAGTTACTTTTTAGTTAGTTTTCAGAGTTGATTTACTTATTTTCAGTTTAGTTTTTCAGAATTTGAAAATGTTTAGTTATTGTTTAGTTGTTATTAGTTTCATTTTTTGTTTTAGTCTTTTTAATTACTGTATGGAGGACATGTCTCTGAGACCACGTTTAGAAAAATCAGTGCAGGTAATATAATAAAAACACATAACTTTGTAAAAGCAACTGACCGATGGTCAAACTCTCAATAAAAATGTGCATCAATGCCTCATCAAACAAGGTGTAATAACATTTTTACTACACTAACTAAGCATAATTGTTTCAGTTAGTTAAAACATTTTTAATCATTAACTAAAATGTTTTT